CCCTAAACCCCAACCCCCCAAAGCCCTAAACCCTAAACCCCCCCAAAAAAAACAAAATCTTCGAGGTCGTGGATGGCCTCACGGAGCTCCTCGTCACCAGATCTCTGCGCTTCTTCGTCCTTTCCTCGATCCAGTTATCACAGCGAACTTCGGAGTTTAGGGATTAGGGTATAGGGTTTAGGGATTAGGATTGAGGGTTTAGGGTTTACGGTCTTAACTCCAAGCCCTGTAAGCCCCAAAACACATGCCTGGGGGCCCTCCCTGCGCGGCCCAAACTAAGGCAAGTCCTGTAAACCCAAAGCAGTTGAGGAGGGCATGCTGCAACTCTTAGGCTGTTCGGCTCAACAGACCATCAACGTTAAACCCTAACAGCTTTCAGCCCGTGAAAGAGACCCCCAAGTGTTTACAGGTAACGTCAGAAGCTCCTAACCTAATCCTTAAGGCCTGAATCCTACAAATCCTGCTACCCTCGCGGCATCTTAGGGCAGAGCTGGTGCATGGCCTGCCCAAGTCCTTGTCAAATTAAGTCCCTGCCAAGCTCGAGAGCCTAAGCTCATAGACCGTAACTAACTTCCTCAAGTCTTTTTAATCCGTAGACCCCAAAACCCCTGTTGATCTCCGGAGTCCACCACGGCCATACTCCCAACTCCCGATTATCGCCCCAAACCCTAGACAAGCTCCTAGCTCCCTGAGTCCTCCCCTAAGGACTCCAAGCTTCGCCCCGCGCAGGTCGCCCCCTCCGCGATCCGCGTCTCGCCGCGCGTCTACGTCGAGGGCACCGAGCTCCTGGCCTCGGTCCAAGGCCTCAACGAATGTATGGTTTCTATGAGGGTTTCTGTGAGATAATAGTGGCTACTAACCAACGGCCTCTATGATATAGTAATGGCTACTACCATTAGCATAAAGGGCTCCTGTGACGGCAACAGTAGTTACTACAAGGGCTTCTGCAATCTTGGCGTGCTTTTGGGCTTTCGGGGTCTAGGGTTTAGGGTTGAGCTTTAGGGCCTGGTTGAAGGGTTTCGGTGGGTAGACATCAAGGGCTTCGTAATAGCTTTGCTGGGGTTCGTAAGGGTGTCATTAACACAATTGTGAGTTTAGAAGGGTCTGGCTTCATAGGTACTCGGGGTAGGGTTTATAGGGTTTAGGGGTTTAGGGTCCCCTTGTAGCTAACAGCAGGGCCGCAGGATCCTTCTTTAAAAGCTTGGCATATTTCCCGGCCCAATAGCCCCGCCTGTACGTGCCCATGAACCGTTTAGTCGGCTTGTTTGGGCTAGGGATGTCGGGGTTTAGGCATAATTAGGCAGGCTTCAGGGAGTTGGTGGTGTTAGTTCGTGGTATTCGAGCTGGGAAAGTACTTTGTGAGTTAGGGTCTTGGCGGTTTAATTAGTAACAGTAGGAGGTTGGAACCAAGGAAGCCAGGTCTCGGTTTAAGTGGCCAAGTCTTTGGCTATCTTTTTTTTTTCTTACTCTACCGTCTTTGACTAGCCTCTCAGTACGAGTGCAACACTGAGGGGTGCCTGTGTTCGTTGAGCCGTATTGCCAAGCTTCGGCTTTAAGGCCGTGCATCTCGCCGGAGTCTGGCAAGTCGCAACTGACCCCGCTCCAGTTCAGAAGCACATCCCAGCAGTTCCCTCGGGTCTCAGTAACATGACATAGGACGGCTATACTGGCAATACCTCTATACTGTTTTTCTTCTTCTTCCTTTTGTCGTGAAGCGATAGTCGTTGGGGCTTCGATTTCGGGCCCGACTAGACGGAAGCATCCGAAGTTCATAAGGCCCCCTACACGGTTGCAGCAGGGTTCCGAAAGGAAAAAACTAGTGCAGCTACCGTTTCGAGAACAATGAGCAAGTGTTTGCTTCTGCTCCAGCACGTTCATCTACCTGAGTCCGGGCTTCAATACATCTATCTATCTACATATCTATCTATCTATCCATCTATCTATCTATCTATCTGTCTATCTATCTATCTATCTATATATATTTTTTTTTATTTATTTAGTATTTTCTATTAAAAATATATATATATATATATATGTTTAGTTCGCAGCCACTGCAGGATATCATCTGGAAGAAGTGCGACAGCAAAGGCTGTAGCCACCTTAGATCTCTGGCTCTGTGACACGGTTTAGGGTTTGGGGTTTGGGGTTCGATGTTCGAACAAGAAAACCTTCTCTTGTGTGGCCACGGCCGAGGCAATGCCGGTTCTGGGCAAAGACCTCGGAGGCCCCTGAGTCCGAGTGACGGTTTGACGACATATATACATATATATATATATAGATAGATAGATAGATAGATAGATATAGACAGATATATATATATATATATAGATATAGATATAGATATAGATATAGATATAGATATAGGTATAGGTA